CGAGATGAACAGCGAAAGCACCAGACATATCACATCGTTCGGACTGTTGTCCTCATCCTTATTTCCATATTCACGGCGTTTCGACTGTTGTGAGCTCCGACCTTCTTCAGGTAATATACGTTGGAATTTCGAACCGAACACTTTATTTAGTACATGAGCTGCATTGTTCAAATTACCCCAAGGACACATGGCCCAGTGGATAAAAGCTTTAGTTGAGTAACCAAAAAGTTATTTGACCCAAATAATTGTAAGTTCAATACCCGACCACAGCATTGAGAACAAACACTTGGAAAGTTATGTTACAAATGGGAATTAACTGATGCAAAGATATCAAAAAAAAGACATAGCACATGGAATTAGAATAATCTAGCCCCGTAGAATAAACAAAGAGTTCAGTTTGAAATCGCAACGTACATTACCTGAAGAAAGTTGGAGCGTACAACGATTGAAACGTCGTGAATGTGGCAGTAAAGATGAGGACCACTGTCCGAACAATGTAAATAGTGTAAATAGTTACAATACCTCATCTCAGAAATATAGACTGTGAATATGACAATAAAGATGAGGACAACAGTCCAAACAATGTCAATAGTGTAAATAGTTACAACACCTCATCTCAGAAATATAGGCTGTGAATATGGCCATAAAGATGAGGACAACAGTCCAAACAATGTAAATAGTGTAAATAGTTACAATACATCATCTCAGAAATATAGACAGAGATAGCATAATATTTCCATTGGCTTATACAATCATGCATCCACACCACCCTTACACACACACACACACACACACACACACACACATATATATATATATATATATATATATATATATATATATATATATATATAGACATTCTTAATCATAGCAATCTATATCTGCACTAACACTTTTCGTGGAGATGCACAATACAAGAGAAGGGCATCATAACTAACGATCGATCAACGTCCGGTTCACTGATTGAGAAAATGGCGCGAAAGCACATGCTGAGTTGCGTGACGTGAGTGTAGAGTACTGATGACGTAAATGGTAGGAAATAGAATAGATTTTGCTCGGTTAAGTGTAAATGTGACACTTGAAAAATATTAATGATTTAATAATGATTTCTATTTTTTTTTTTTTTTCAATTTTAGCGATAGATCATGCTTGGAATATATTTTCGAAAAAAAGAATTGTGGAAACTTTTGTGATCTCAACGAACAATTGTAGCCACTTTTGTAATGCCAACGAATACTCGTTGTCGCTTTCGTAATGCTCGTTGTAGTAGAGACTTTGTAATCGCAGATACAACTTATAGTGCGCCGTTGAACAATAGTGGTGTCAGACACCTTCGAATATCACTCGCACTATTAGTACTTGCTCGATAATACTCGCTCGAATAGTAATCTGTATAGTGATCCGAATAGGGAAATAGTATAGTGAATAAAGTAGAGAATAGCGGTCCATATAGTAATAGAGGATGGAGTAGAAATAGAGATCCGAATAGTAATAGAGGATAGACTAGAAAGAATGATCAATCTAGACGCCATGCGACTTCCTATATATGCATTTCTTCTATGTTCACGTCCACTTAATTCAATTCACTGGCGATCTAGGTTCAAACTCAAGTGTCGGCAGCGACATCTTATTCCTATATAACAGAAATGAATCGCGAAAGAAATGGCATGATATTGAATAAATAAATACAAGTGCAACAGAATTCAGGAAAAAGTCAACATTTTTGGGGGGCCAAATAAAAAGGACACAACATGAAAAGTGAACAGTGGAGAATGTAAAGAGCAGAAAAAAGGGTAGAAACGAAATAAGAAAATAAATTTCTATAAGAAACTTGTAATCGAAAAAATAAATATAACGAGAAAAGAAAGGAAATTAAAAAAAAAAATGACTGTTTTTTACGTAGGAGAAAATGTGGCAAATTGAAAGGATAAATAGAAATGGGGGAAAAATGTAATGATTCCTTATGACATGGAAAAAGGGAAACAATATTAAAAAGTAAACAATGGAAACAGACACAAAAGGAGTAAAAAGGAAACATTCGGAAAAGAAAATAATCGAAAAAAGAAACAATGCAAAAAAGAAAACCATCGAAAAAAGGAAACAAGGGAAAAAGGAACAACGTAAAAAGAAAACAATCCCAAAAAAGTAAACGATCGAAAAATGAAACAATGTAAAACGTAAACAAAAGGAAGAAGGAAACAGTCGAAAAAGGTAACAATAGAAAAGGAAATAGTGGTAAAAAATTAATAGAAAAAAGGAAACATTAAAGAATGAAACTAAATAAAAAAGTAAACGATGTAAAACGAAAACAACCGAAAAGGAAAACGAGGGAAAATGAAAATAGTAGAAAAAGGAAACAATAAAGAATGAAACTATACAAAAAAAAGTAAAGGATGTAAAAAGGAAACAAACCGAAAAATAAAACGATGGAATAGAACAATAATAGAAAAAGGAAACAATAAAGAATAAAACTATATAAAAAAAAAATAAAAGGATGTGAAAAGAAAACAAACCGAAAAATAAAAAAACGATGGAATAGAACAATAATAGAAAAAGGAAACAATAAAGAATGAAACTATATAAAAAAAAGTAAAGGATGTGAAAAGGAAACAAACCGAAAAATAAAACGATGGAATAGAACAATAATAGAAAAAGGAAACAATAAAGAATGAAACTATATAAAAAAAAGTAAAGGATGTGAAAAGGAAACAAACCGAAAAATAAAACGATGGAATAGGACAATAATAGAAAAAAAGAAACAATAAAGAATGAAACTATATAAAAAAAAAAGTAAAAGGATGTGAAAAGGAAACAAACCGAAAAAATAAAACGATGGAATAGGACAATAATAGAAAAAGGAAACAATAAAGAATGAAACTATATAAAAAAAAGTAAAGGATGTGAAAAGGAAACAAACCGAAAAATAAAACGATGGAATAGAACAATAATAGAAAAAGGAAACAATAAAGAATGAAACTATATAAAAAAAGTAAAGGATGTGAAAAGGAAACAAACCGAAAAATAAAACGATGGAATAGAACAATAATAGAAAAAGGAAACAATAAATAATGAAACTATATAAAAAAAAAAAAAAAAAAAAGGATGAAAAGGAAACAAACCGAAAAATAAAACGATGGAATAGAACAATAATAGAAAAAGGAAACAATAAAGAATGAAACTATATAAAAAAAGTAAAGGATGTGAAAAGGAAACAAACCGAAAAATAAAACGATGGAATAGAACAATAATAGAAAAAGGAAACAATAAAGAATGAAACTATATAAAAAAAAGTAAAGGATGTGAAAAGGAAACAAACCGAAAAATAAAACGATGGAATAGAACAATAATAGAAAAAGGAAACAATAAAGAATGAAACTATATAAAAAAAAAAAAAGGATGAAAAGGAAACAAACCGAAAAAATAAAACGATGGAATAGAACAATAATAGAAAAAGGAAACAATAAAGAATGAAACTATATAAAAAAAAGTAAAGGATGTGAAAAGGAAACAAACCGAAAAATAAAACGATGGAATAGGACAATAATAGAAAAAGGAAACCGTGGGAAAAGAAAATGGAAAACTTCAACAAAGTCTTAAGTATAAATGGAAAAAGGAAACAGTTGAAAAAAGAACCAACAGAAAATTTAACAATAAAAAAGGATGCAAAATAAACCATAGAAAATGTTGGAAATAAAGTAGAAAATGATTTTAAAAGATGTAAATAAAAATAAAAGATGCGAGAAGAAAATGAAAATAAGAAATAGTTCTTTTGTAGGCACAAACAATAATACAAATATATGAAAAGAAAAGAAAAAGAAATACGAGCAAAACTTGAAATAGGAAGCAATAGTAAATTGGAACCCATGAAAAAAAATAGCAAAATTAGAAACGGTGGAAACGAAAAGAGAAATTAAAATTCATAACGTTAAATGCAATTGAATAAATACATGTATGGAGAAAAGAAGAGCATGAATAGGGTTGTTCCGAAAAACAAGAATGGGAAAAGTTAACATTGGGAAAGAAAACAATGAGGTGAAAAATAAAGAGAAAACGGATTTCATAACAGATTCTAAGAACGAAAAATGTTTTTTTTTAATTATTTCACACCAAGCAAGGAAATAAAGCCACTACAACGCAAGGAATTACTGAGTGTTAGAGAATATGAGAAAAGTAGAAAAACATATTAATGAGAGAAAATAATAACAAAAAGAAATTAAGAACGAGAAGACAACGATTGACACTGCTTTTCAATTTTGGAAGCTCACCATAGAAATTACGGATACCTCTAGCCATTTCAACTTTAAAATGGTGAAACCTTTCAGCCAATTTACTACTACGCTTTAAATTCATAAAGTCTACAATTAAGAAGAGAGGACAAAAAACAAGAATTAAGAAGACAGAAGACAATGATTGACATTGCATTTAAATTGTTGAAGATCAACATAGAACTTAATGATACTTCTAGCGATTTCAACTGTAAAATGATGAGACCTTGCCGCCAATCTAGTACTGAGCTTAAATTCATAAAATATAGAAGCTCATCTGAACAATTAGCATGTAAATATTTATAGAAAAGACACAGGGAATTTATATTACGGCAGTGGGAAAGTGATTGAAGCTGTGATACTAGGAGCAATGACATTGCCAATTGCACTTTTTATCTTATCAAGAATCTCTAAATACCTTGCAGAAATACCAAAATATATGTGGTAATAATAGCCAATGTATGGACGAATAGTAGAGATATAAATATGCCAGATAGATTCTGAAAAGAAATAATTCTGTAGAATAGGGTACTAACTTTCCTAGTAGAAAGTTTTAATTTAACCAAGCACCAAAAATGTTTGAAAATTTATGTAGCGAGAGAGGGTGGAGAGAGAGAGGAAGAAAGAGAGCCATTACTATATTATCAGATATTTTGTCTAATATGTTACTGTACTCAGAAGAAGGAGAGCGATAAGGGAAAAAGCGATAAAAACTAAAGAAAACATGATAAACTATTAGACAGATAGACAAGGATAAAATGGACTAGATAGATAGATAGATAGATAGATAGATAGATAGATAGATAGATGAAGAAAAATATACATACTAGAACATACATACAAAGAGACTGATAGATAGATAGATAGATAGATAGATAGATAGATGATAGATAGATAGATAGATATGAAGAAACTTAGATACATACTTACATACATACATACGAACAGACTGATAAATAGTTATGAAGAAACGTAGATAGATACATGCATGCATACATACTGACAGATAGATAGATAGATAAATAGATAGATAGATAGATGTGAACAGATAGATAGATAGATAGATAGATAGATAGATAGATAGATAGATAGATAGATGTGAAGAAAGATACATACTTACATACATACATACAAAGAGACTGATAGATAGATAGATAGATAGATAGATAGATAGATAGATAGATAGATAGATATGAAGAAACTTAGATACATACTTACATACATACATCCGAACAGACTGATAAAGAAACGTAGATAGATACATGCATGCATATATACTGACAGATAGATAGATAGATAGATAGATAGATAGATAGATAGATAGATAGATAGATAGATATGAGCAGATTTAGATAGATAGATATATGCATGCATACATACTGACAGATAGATAGATAGATAGATAGATAGATAGATAGATAGATATAAGCAGATTTAGATAGATAGATATGAACCGAATGATTTAGATTGATCGATAGATAGATATGAAAAGACTGAGATATAGATAGATAGATAGATAGATAGATAGATAGATAGATAGATAGATAGATAGATAGATATGAACAGACTGAGATAGAAAGAATTATAACTAAAGCGATATATATATATATATATATATATATATATATATATATATATATATATATATTTAATCAATATTAATTAATAAATTTTAAAAAGTGTATAAATCCAGCCATTTTCACCTTGATGATCGTTCGAAACGCTGTGAATGTCAAACAGCCAGTATAAGGATATGAGTCCGAATGAACTGATGTACAGTGATGATGATTGCTCATCTCCAAAAATTCAGACAAAAATTAAGCACATTTCTATTGTTTGATCGTAAAGGTAGAAAGTAAAACATGGTCAGACGATCGATTCTTAGGTCGATAAATAAGGAATGTGAAAGTGAGCCAGCATCCATTTGCCCAAAATAGGAAACCGAAAGAAAAACTATTTATTTTCCTATTCCTTGGGTGAACATGTTTTTCTGACTAAAGCATTTCTAAACACACAGAAGTAGACGCATTCGGGAAATGAACCACACCCCCAGAACATAGATGCACAATTAAATATATTAAATATATAATATAGTCTCTAGTCAAAGACCAAAGTTTCTTCAGAAAATGATTTATCAACTTCTTCTTCTTCTTCTTCTTCTTCTTCTTCTTCTTCTTCTTCTTCTTTTTTATTTCTTCTTTTTTATTTCTTTTTCTTTATCTTCTTCTTCTTCTTCTTCTTCTTCTTCTTCTATATCTTCTTCATCATCATCGTCTTCATTTTCTTCATCTTCTTCTTTATCTTCTTCACCTTCTTTATCTTCTTCTTCATCTTCTTCTTTATCTTATTATGCTTCTTTATTTTCTTCTTCATCTTCTTCTTTATCTTCTTCTTCATCATCATCTTCTTCATTTTCTTCTTCTTCTTCGTCTTCTTCTTAATCTTCTTCTTCTTCGTCTTCTTCTTTTTCTTTCTTCTTCATCCTCATCATTATCTTCTTCTTCATAATCTTCTTCATTTTCTTCTTCTTCTTCTTTATCTTCATCTTCTTCTTCATCTTCTTCTTCTTTATTTCCTTTTTCTTCTTCTTCTTCTTCTTCATCTTCTTCTTCATCTTCTTATTCTTTTTTATTTTCTTCTTCTTCTTCTTTATTTTCTTTTTTTTCTTGTTTATTTTCTTCTTCTTTATTTTCTTTTTTTCTTCTTTATTTTCTTCTTCTTATTCTTCTTGTTTATTTTCTTCTTCTTTTTCTTTATCTTCTTTATTTTCTTCCACTTCATCATCATTATCATCTTCTTCATTTACTTCTTCTTCTTCTTCTACTTCTTCTTCTTTATTTTCTCCTTCTTCATCATCTTCTCCATTTTCTTCTTTTTCTTCTTCTTTATCTTCTTCTTCTTCATTTTCTTCTTCTTCTTTATTTTCTTCTTCTTCTTCTTCTTCTTTATCATCTTCTTCTTCATCTTCTTCTTTATTTTCTTCTTCTTCTTCTTTATCTTCTTCTTCTTCGTCATCTTCTTCTTCTTTATTTTCTTCTTCTTCTTCTTTATCTTCTTCTTCTTCGTCATCTTCTTCTTCTTCTTTATTTTCTTCTTCTTCATCTTCTTCTTCTTTATTTTCTTCTTCTTCTTCTTTATCTTCTTCTTTATTTTCTTCTTCTTCATTACATTATCATCTTCTTCATTTACTTCTTCTTCTTTATCTTCTTCTTCTTCTTCTTCTTCTTCGTTATTTTCTTCTTCTTCATCATCATCTTCATTTTCTTCTGCTTCTTCTTCCCTGTACCGTGTCTCTTTATTATACAGGGGATCATTTCTCTCCATTCATTTACACACTCTCGTTAGGTAGGTTGATCATGGCTCTCCACAACTTCCTATCCTTTGTAGCTCTTGGCAATGTTAGTCTCCTTAATATCTCTCTCAGTCCCTGTTCTGCCATACATTTACGCATGCTCGTTAAGTAGGTTGATCATGGCTCTCTACAACTTCCTATCTTTTGTAGCTCTAAGCAATGTTTGTTTCCTTAATATCTCCCCCAGTCCATATCCTGCCATCCATTTCTTTCATCCATTTATGTATGCTCGTTAGCTATGTTACTCGCTCTCAGCTTCTATCACACTTGAGTTCTATATGCTCTTTGTGTGTTAAATATTTCAATCCCTCTTTCATCGATGTGTGTTAATTATCGCTTTCTCTTACTAATTTGAAGTGTCCTTTTCATTTTAACTTTCCTAATTATTCAGAGGTTCTGTCTACTCAACTTCAGCAGAAATGCATTTCTATTGTCTCAAGTCTCTTCTTCAGGAAGTGAGGAAGTTGATCAGCATTCACTGCCACATAGGAAGATTTATATTCTATAGCAGTTCAGCACATGTTTCTTTGTTTCAAGCGAAATTCTAGAGTTTCTATGTATTTTTCTTTAGTTTTTGGAGGGAATCTTTTACGATTACAATGAGATTTCGTTGTCATATTTTCCTTCATCTGTTAAAAAAAATCTTCCAGATATTTAAACTCGCTTGAACTTGATATCTCAATTTTGTAGTCCGCGTTTTGGCCTTTTACGCTTACTAACAATAATATATTATGTCTTCCTACCATGTATATTTAGTAAATAAATCTTGTGAGGATAAGGGTACTCTTGGTTGCAAATAGAATGGCAATAATTAATTCGAAATAACCAGTTTGTATTCCGTATGTGACTATAGCCACAATTGGATGATATGTGAGAAGATATGCTTCATGAAAAATACAAGAAAAACGGATATATCAGTGTTTAGAAAAGAAGAAGAAGTGGACAAGGAGGGGGGAAGAAGAAGAGATGATGATGGAAGAGAAGAAAGAAGAAGAGATGAGGGAGGAGGAGGAGGAAGAAAATGAAGAAGAGGTGGACGACGACGAGGAGGAGGAAGAAGATGACAGTGGAGGAGTCGGATTAAGTAGAAAAAGAAGAAGAAGAAAAGGAAGAAGAGGTGAGGGAAGAAGAGAAAGAAGAAGAAAAAGAAGAAGAGGTGGACGAGGAGGAGGAGGAGGAAGAGGTGAGGGAGAAGGAGGAAGCAGAAGAAGAAAAAGGTGGATGAGGTGGACGAGATGGACGAGGTGGACGAGGAAGAAGAGATGATAGTGTAAGAGGAGGAGAAGGAGGAGGAAGAAAAAGAAGAAGTGAGAGGGAGGAGGAGGAGCATTAAGAAGAAAAAGTAGAGGAGGACGAGGAGGAGGAAGAAGAGGTGGTGGTGGAAGAAAAAGAAGAAGAAGAAGTGGACGAAGAAGAGGCGGAGGAGGAAGATGAGGGGGTAGAAGAAGAAGAAGAAGAAGAAGAAGAAGAAGAAGAAGAAGAAGAAGAAGAAGAAGTGGATGAGGAGGAAGAGGAAGAAGAGATGGTGATAGAGGAAGATGATGAAGAAGAAAACGGTTTTGTTTAACTTTTGGAAGTCATCATTCGCTATTCGAATTAGTGTGTCACATTGTCCGCCATTTTTCTCATAACACTTCCTAATAATCTGTAAAGAAAAGAAATGGATATTTTTATATACAGGGTGTCCATATTTAGTGGGGATATATATACCTATCCATTTAGGATATAATTACCTATACATTTAATGCGAAATATAAAGATCGCATAAACAAACGCCCACTGGTAAATAACTAGTAGCAAAGGCAGTATTAATATGTGTAGTAAAGTATATTAATCAACGATTAAGATTAGTAGGGGATTCCCCTATTTTTTTCTTCGATGTTTTTTTAATTGAATCAATGTATTTTTTTCTATTACTACCATTAGCAAATGTTCGCCCCCGTATCAGCTTTTTAATCTGGTATTACTAATGCCACAATTTATTTCAGTCTGCCCATATCATTGCAGTTTTTCTGTCATGTGTAGATTTATAAGAACAAGCAACTGTCATCGGATTAAAATAAAAATTAATTACTCCGTTCCGATGACTTAATGACTCATGTAAACTGAAAATTCGCCAATTACTTTCCAATCGTAAGAGTAACCTTGTCCTGAAAAGCCAGCATAAAAGAACGTAATTTTTTAAACAACTGAAAATTCTATGGCACATGATGAGGATAGATGGCTTAGAGAATATGACAACCACAAGTCATACTGGACAGAGAGAAACAGCGAGTAACCTTCCTAACGAGTAATAGAATAGAAGGAGTAGATAGGTTCGCCTATCGCCCGGTTCACACTTCTTCCCGGTCTTTTGAACAGGAGTAGATGTTTATCCCATCTTTCCTGTTTAGGATTGAATTTTTATTTCCTCTTATAGTTTTCTCAGTCCTTGTCACTTCCAGTAGCCTCTTTCATTTTAGTGAAATTATCGCCAGACTTGGGGTGAATTGGCTAAAAAGATTTTTGAAAATAATTTTTAGCCCAGTATAAGGCCAAAGTGCCACTCAAGGTAGAGGGTTACTGAATAAAGTTGTTATATGAACGTAACAGTTGTTAAAAAATTCAGATTATGGGGATATACAGGAAAACTTGGAAGGATAGTAAGGAGATAATCATTGAGTTACAAAGAATAAGAAGTTGTGGAGAGCCATGACCGGCCATGTTCTGAAGAGCCACAATACATAAAAAATAAAATGCTGTATTTTTCGAGTCAGAATATGAATATGGCCGACAAAAACAAGTATCTTAATAATATTTTAGCCGTAATAATAGGCTTTCAATGATCAGGTGAAGTAAATCTTTTTTTTTTAATGTTTGTCCGAGACAAGGCCTGAAGGCCATTCATGGAAGAGGGTTACTGAAGGTGTTTTTTTTTGGGGGAGGTGTCCAGGAAACATCCTCCTGCTATTCTGTTCTACAAAGCAACAGTTCTTGATCAGAATTTATGTGAAGGGAACTTATTCCTTACTAATGAAATCCGAAAGGAACGAGCGTGATTCATCTCACTGCACGGGGCGTGGCGGCTCGTAGCCGGGGGGGGATTACACTTGGTGGAACGAAGGAATGTAACCCGTCAGAATATTGTCCATTGAAATAGCGGCCGAGCAGCGAGAGGCTTACAGCGTTTTGTCTGTGGGAAAGCGGATGTAAGGCGGAAAACAATTCATCACCCACAAGGCCGTGTAGAGGCGTTTGAAGTCTGTTAAGACTGGAAAATGAAATATGCCAGCAGTGCTCCATTTTCTGTTTGATCTTGCTCTCGGGCAGATAGAGGATAGCAAGAGGATTTACGTCCTTACAGGAGCGGTACAGGGAACCGGCCATATTCCAGCATCTTTAGCAAAGGATCGTATATATATATATATATATATATATATATATATATATATATAAGTTCCACTT